ATATATATATATATATATATAACGCACACACTTTCATGTACCTTTCTACTAAAAAAGTGTGATGTACTTTTAATGGTATATCAATAAGAATGAATTATATAAAATGCTTTGACTAAACGTATAATTATAAGAGTTAATTTATCCAATATGAAACAGTTCAGTCAAACATTTGACTTATCTAAATTACTATCCTCAAATCAAATACCTGAAATAACATTGGATTTAAACCAAAGATTGTGGTTTTATGAACTTGACATTATTTTGGAGGAAAGGTTTAATTATGAAGAAATGCCATAGAATTTGGACAGAAACTTAAATTAACCCTCAACTAGAATTGTTAAATTTGAAATTTGTTTACATTTTCTATTTAAATTCTAATTTGTTGTTTATATACAGTTATCTTTTTGGTATTTGAGTGAATATTTTTGAAGAAATTAAAATCATTCACAGCAAAAAACACAAACACACACAAAATTAAAGTTTGCAGAATAATGGCGATTTGAAATAAGGAACTCTGGGGAAGCTGCATTATGAAAAATCAAAAATTTAAAAAGACAAGCAAAAGAAATGCACCAGTTTGGAGTAACCATCAAAGTAACTAATATAGACACATAGGTTCTGCTAAAATCTTTATCTACTCAGTCACAGTAACAATTAAAAATGTGAGGGATGAAAAAGATATATTTTAATAGAATTTCCTGTATCAAAATTCTGCAAATTTTCAGCAAACTTCAAATATAGAATTTATTTTATACAAGTGTTTTCTGTCATATGACAAGGTTTTAATTCTGGAAATATACTTTTACCATTATGGGTAATATCAGGTTTTATCATTTTTAGTTATCCATACTTCAACTACCAAATGTAATGTTCATAAATTTAACTGGTCTTTTATCACATACAGGTAAAGAATATTGACTCAATGCCTATTTGAACTTTGAGCAGATTTAATACACCTGTTGTAAACATTTATTTTTCACCATATTTAAAATCCAATGAAGTAATCAAATTAAATTATTTTTTTCTAAATTCTGTATTTCTATAATGGTTATTTTTCCCCCCCGAAAGATTAAGGTTTTAATTTTTCTGTTAGCATGTCAGCAAACATAGTTTAATTGAAAAATTGACTTAAAAACGGGTAAAAACCTGTTTTTATGTACGCAAAAGCAATTTTATTACTAATTTTCTGCAATTAAATTATTACAATATATTTTTAAGTTTTTATTAGAAAACGTCCATGATCACTGGTACAATTTGTGATGAGCAACAACTATTTTATGCAGACATTTTGGGGTTATGTCTGCAAAACAGATGTATATGATCTACACTATTAAGAAAAGAAAAAAAAACAGTATAGGTTTTGTATTACAAAACAAGTGACTTATATAGAGAGTGATTTCTAAAACAAGCTAATACTTGACTTACTTTATTTTCATAATAAAGTCTCATAACAAAAGGGGGGAAAATAATCAATGTCATTATACTAGTGTTGTTAAATCCAAAATATCATTGAACCAGAGAACACATTAAAATAGATATTATGAAGAAAAGATGGTTTAATCAGGTTGAAGAGAAAAAGTTACTATAATAACTGTTTTAAAATATTTTAAGGTAATCTGCAAAATAGTCTCAAATAAAAAGTTATCACAAAATGTCATGAACTCTCTTCATAACACTCCAGTTTTGTGCATGTATACATACACGCACAAAACTGGAGTGTTATGAAGAGAGTTCATGACATTTTGTGATAACTTTTTATAAAAATAAAGGATTCAACTGAGCGTAAAAAAAGTTGAAATATTTTACAATCTCCTTACTTATACAACCTTCTAAAATGAACTTATAAATTAGCATTTGTAAGTTTTAAACTTGAAATCACTTTTGGTTATCACACGAGTATTTTTGGTTTAATTAAAAGCTAAAGGATTAAATTTACTATTTTCAGTAAGCAAAATACTCTGGTGTATTTCAAACAGAAATTATATTGATTGGAATCCATTTTAATTTTTTTTTCCGTAACAAAGTTATCCATTTTCGAGACATTTGTAGATACAAGTTAGTTCTCAGTTTTAAAAATCTTCCAAAACTTTATTTGAGAAATATTAGCTGATTTAAAGTATAATTAATCTGATTCGAAATACACACAAGTTAAAATATCACAAATTATTTTTTTAACCAAAAAGACGCTGTTATTTTAACCGACAGTAACAGTGTTTGACAAGAAGGTGATGACAGATCTAATGTTGTCATACAGTAACTTTATAAAACATAATTAAAAATAAAAAAAAAAAAAAAAATGATGTGAGCACCTTTTCATATAATTTTTAAGTACTCAGTATTTAAGAAAATATTCTCTGTCATGCTTTATTGAATTTTAGGAATTTCGATTTTAATATAGTTATCATCAGTATTATTTTCTGATGTCGTATATGGTCGCCTGTACTTACAAAAATACACTACTTTTAAAAATCTTGGTCCATTATGATTTGTATTCATTTCCATTTAAATGTAGTTTTTACTTAGTATCTAAAAGGCGCAAATTAATACAAATAAATCATAAAAGAAAAGAAAAAAAAAAGGAATCAATTCTTGTAAAAATTCATTATTTATCCAAATTTTTTTTAAGACAATACTCAACTGTCTTTTAAATCTTATTTATTCAGAATTTATAAATTAAAAACTTTTCTAATTAATAAATTAGATAATTTAAAAAAAAGTTTTTACTTTTTACAATAACATTCTCCAAAGAGTCCTGCTTTTACTTTTAAAGAAATAAGCGGATCAAAAATTAAATTTCTCGAAATGTCAAAAAGTGTATAAAAAAAAAAAAAAAAATTTTTTTTTAAACCAAGATTTTCTAAAACAAAAAATTCATTCATTTGTGATAAGTCCTGAAGGTCTCATTCAAATCCGGCAATTATTTGATTTTTGCAAGAATTTCCAAAACCAAAACAATGTGTTTTTTACCGGAAAAAAATAAATAAAAAATAAGGTAAATTTCCCATAATAATCTTTGGACCATCGCTAAAGCAAAGAGAAAGGAAGGAAGGAAAACAAATTAATCAATTTCGAACGTGCTAGAAAGGATTTAAAAAAAAAAAAATTGATCTTTTAATAAACATTTTGAATTGATTTTTGTTTTGACGCTAAAACTGTTTAAGTTTGAGGCTTTTGTTTTTCATCATTTTTTTTTTTAGCGAAAAAGTGGAGGTACCTGAAGAACTTATTCACAAATAAATGAAATTATTTTAGAAATGTCTTTTTTTCTTTTCTTTTAAATTTTGACGACAGAGCCTTATTTCTAAGTTTGGGACATTTTTTTTTCATCATCACGTACTGTATGCTGAATACCGTATGCATGCTCATTTTTTTTTTTTTTAGCGAATCTGTGGTGGTGCAGTTTTTAACACTCATGCTTCCGCTTCATTTTCTTTTTTATTAATCAGCAGTTTTAGGTTAAAAAGAGTATCAATGTTTTTAGAAAGTCGTCTTTTTCAACATGAAGTCACTCGGAGTAAATAAAATCTTTAATATTCAAAGTCTTGAAATATATTTGTGTGTACACAATGTAGTTACCAAGTTTTTAAAAAGGTTGATCGACTTACGTCCTGGGGATACGGCATATAGAAGAATAATTCTTTTTAATCTAAAAAGTATTTTCTTTTTTTTTTTTTTCTTCAATAACCTCGAGCGAGAGTGATTTTTCCGTTAAAACCAAAAAAATTATTTAACCAGTTTTAAATAAAATTACAAAGTTATTTTTTTTTTTAGTACGACAAATTAGTTTCCTAAATTTATATTTTCAGGAAATTCTAGACATTTTCAGAATGATATGGATGTTTCAATAAAAAAAAAAGGAAGCGTTTTATTTTTTCTTCCACTGAATTAAAAAGCGTATTCACTTATTTAGATTCCATGATTACTCACTTGGAATGAAACAAAAAAAGCTCAAAGAAAAGAAAAATAAACACTTAATTTAATACGAGAAAAAAAGTCATTTTATGATTTTTGTTTTGGGAAAATGACTGTCGTAAAAAGAAAAAAAAATGTAAGAAATTCAAGAACAGATTTTTTTTCTTTCCTTCGTCTTTAACAAGTTTTAACAGCATTTTTTACCTCTCAAAGCCTAAAATTGACAAACCAAATGTTTTTAAAAAAGTGTCATTGTCATGGAAAAGTAAATAAAGTTTTATTTTAAAACTGTTTTAACTTTTTCGTTTTTGTTGACAGCATGAAAATGCTCAACGTTTTCTTTTAGCAACACATCTCAATACATAATAACATTGTAGAATTTATAAAAAAAAAAAAAAAGCAATTTTTTTCTCTCAAAAAATATAAAATGACAGTCCCTGGTTTGCCTACAGTACGATTGATAAAGAAACACAAAGTAGTTGTGTGACAAATCATTATTCTTTTAGTTTTAATTTAAAAATCTTATCACAGGCATGGTAAGACAACGTTTTTCTCTAATTTCTTATTAAAAAAAAAAATGTCGTTTGCGAACGACTTTAAAGATTACTGTTACGGTCAAAAATAAATAAGGTGCAGGTGTCAGGGTATATAAAATAAGACGATAAGCGATATTTGTAGTTGAACATCTTCCACTTGACATGTGGATGACAACATAACCAACTGAATGGAAGGTTAAAAACTCTTTACGGAGTGTTATCGAATTTTAAACGAACGTTAATATATATTACATAAAGCTTAAAAAGCTCCCAACTTCATGAAAAATGGAGAACGGAACAAGAACAAAAGTCTTTAAAAAAATTAACTATAAGCTATTCAAATCGTTTCTAAAGCTAAGTAAAGATGTTTTCGTTTTTTTTTTTTTTTTACGGAAAAGTAATAATAAAAAAAACACAGACGATAGCAATAAATGACACCTGTTTAGAATGCAATACAGCAATGGTATGGCTATAACTTATAAGGACAGGTCAGAAGGTCTTTAAAACTCAAGATAAAGGAAGTCGTGATAGGTTTAAATATAAAAGACTCACTGTTTGACAAAAAAGTCTTCGCTATCGACGAGGTGGCAGCCATCCTCTCAGAATTTCAGTACAAGGCGCCAATTCCCAACAGCCTCGATTTGAAAATTAACGCACGCTTTGCATTGTGGGTAACGAAACACTTTTCTTATCTCTTGTCTTCCTTCTTTTTTCCTTTTTTTATTTTTCTTTCTCTTTATTTGCCTTCCTCTCTTTATTGTGCAACAGTTAAACCGAAACCTATTTCTTTACGCACATTACAATACACAAACCTCTCTACACGAAATATCCACATACAATGTTTATAAAGAAAAGATATGCTGTTTAAATTTAATTCTGCTTCACACACAGTGACATGTATTACTAAAAACTAATAATTACTTCCAATGATTTTGTTTTACATGCTTTTCTTGCCTGACTCTTTCTTTTTTTTTACCCTAAACTTTTCTTAACTGCTCAGCTTCATTCATTTCTCCGAATGATAGTTTCTCTTGGTTGATATACCCCTACCTTGGGGTTTAGTAAGAAGAATCAACTAACTTTTGAAAAACGCCAGTAAATGTTACTATTTTACTTCAGGATCATGTTACACGCCATGGATCCGAAGGGTAAAAAAAAAAAAAAAAATATATACACGTAACGTTGCTGCACAGCGTCTCTATTTTTAAGCTGAAAGGGTGTGTCGATTTTTAGATATCTCGCCATGACATTTTTAGCATCTCTAATCTTTGACCTTTTTGGCGCAGCAAACAGTTTTTTTTAAAAAATTTTATTTTAAGCCAAAAACATAAGTTCAATAGTTTGGAAAGGATTGTTTTTTCTCACATAAAGTTGTATTTCTCTTTTTAATTTAAACACATAGTAATTATTTATCATAATTAATTGCTAACTAACATTATCTACAAATTCACATAAAATAATTTGTGAATGAATGTGTAGATTTATTTTAACTTTTTTTTTTTATTAAAGATCAGCAATAAAAAATTGAAAGCAAAAAGAAAAAGACAACTTATTCGGAAAGAAAAAACGAAATAGGGACAAAAACTGAAGTGGACTAGTGTGGAATAAAAGACATGCTATATTTGATGGAAAAAAGCCATTCCCTCAAACTAATATTGGAATTTAATAAACTTGTTTTGAACTGTAAAAATGGGGGACATATTTTATTATCTTTTATCGCTGCAGTTATTTCTGCTTGGTTAAAGTGCCAATCAACACTGCTAATCAGTAAGGAAAAATATCTATTGCTCAGTGTTGATTTAAAAAAATATATACACTCTGTTTTTTATTATCTTGCAATATGTTAAATGATGAATACCCTACTAAATTTGAGATCCATGTCATTAAGACATCATGTAGGCTCCTCTATCCTGTCAGCACTCTCGCATTTCTTAAAAACAACCAAAAGTAAAATGTCTAACCTGAACCAGGATATAAAAAGGCCTAAAAATGAGGAAAAAATGCCTAGGGTCAAAGCATAGTATCTGTACCAGCAGCCAACAGCTCATGGCTCCAACCATAAGCAGCAGTTCCAGCTAGCCAGAAACCATCATCTCCAGCTCGCCATTAGCCACATCTCCAACTATCTACAGTAGGCATCCTGCTCCAGCCATCCTGGCAAGAAAGCAATGATATGCAATAAACTATCCTTTTCAGAACAACATTCTCCAGTGACTACAAAGTGTCATTTTCTGGACAACGCTTTTTAATGGCTACTAAAAGTGTCCTTCTCAGGACAACACTTTTCTCACCCTTTACATGAGTGTGCAGAGATATTTTTTTGCCTAGTGCAAACCTTATTTTTGTTGATGTATTTTATTTAACAAAAATAAACTTGGCAATATATTTTTTACTCAAGTCTTCATTTTGTTTGTTGTTGCCTTCTGTCTTTTAATATCTATTTGCAGGCCAATATACCACCTGCAATACCTCAACCAAGTTGGTTGTCTGTTGTTTTAAGCCAAGAAATAAATCTGTAAATTTTAAGGAAGTTTGAAACTTTTCTTCATTCAGAAAATGAACAGCCATTTATACTCTTGTACAATCAGTGATATTGTGATGGCACCATCATTTAAAAGTGAACCATTATTCTCATTCTCTACACAGCAATGTTAAATCTTAGTTTGATAATCTTGTAGGTCGTAAGTAATTAAGTGTTTTATCTTTAATACTTGTGATGAAAGATTATAACTTAGAGTAGCAATTTGTAGGAAACCTAAGTTAGTATTTATTTGGTGACCAGCAAATTGTTATCATTTCAAAATCAATTAATTCAATATGTACATGGATTAACAGAATAATAATAATTTTATATGTATGTTTGAAACTAAAAATTTTAACTCCCTACCAAATCTAAATTCTTGTGCCAAACATAAAACCTAGTTAGTAGGAATAGAAAGGGAAAAGAGAACACATGCTTTTCTTCACCTTGAGGTCAAAATAGGAGCAAATAAAAAAATAAGACTCAACCATTACATAAAATTTTAAAGGAAAAACATTTAATAAATAAGTAAAGACAAAAAGGTACAATACAATATTTGCACAAAAATTTCCTTTTGTGCAAGACAACAAATTTCGGATGTTTCAAAAAAAGGATTACCATAGAGACATGGAAAAAGTGTTATAGTTTAGGAAAAGACAAGGATTCACTGACAAAAAGAGAAAACAATTCAAAAAGACAGAAAGACAAAGGTGCAACCACCTTTCAGAAAAAGACAAAAACACTTGCCTCTCTGGGACTGAAGTGTAAGCGTTCTCGAAGCAAATTTGTTACTTTCACAACACAAAGAAAAAATCACTTGTAACGCGTCATGAAAATAACTCACTCTCCAACAAACGCCGTAGCCAAAAATGCCCGAATTTTCCTTCATGGTACTGAGCGGTCCCACCCGTTTACCCCTGGGCGGTTTCACGTTCTCTTGAACTCTCTCTCCAAAGTTTTTTTCAACTTTCCCTCACGGTAGTGTCGACTATCGGACTCGTCCCGGTATTTAGCCTTGGATGGAGCTTACCACCCGACTTGGACCTGCGTTCCCAAGCAACCCGACTCTCGGATCGAAGGCCGTCGCTCGCCGTCCGCACCGAATGGGCCTGGCACCCGCCGCGGGCGGCCCCGATCGAGGGAACTCCGAACTACGCAAGACGAAAACGAGCGGCTGCCTTCGACCCATGCGCCACACGTCCCGAAGCCTTTTACTTGCGACGGGATTTCGTCGCGCCGAAGCGCCCGCGCCATATGATGCCGAGCGAAGGAAGGTGCGGGTGATCGCGAGGAATGGAGAGGAGGAGCCGCGACGGCGGCAGCAGCAGCAGCAGCAGCAGCGACCGCCGCGCTCTCCTCGTTCCCCGCGGCCCGTCTCTCCTGTCGGCGACGCGAGCGCAAAAGCAGAATCCGGAGGGCGTCGAGGTCGAGTTGTAGGCAGAGCCGACAAACAGCGTTCCCCGCCGGTGACCCCCGGAACGACGTCCGCGCCGGCCTGATATGGGCGCCGCCGCCCGAGCGAAACCCGAACAACAACCAAATCGAGTTTGGGCCACGTTCGGCAGCACCGGACTGAGTCCCCCCGCGATCGCGGTGACTCCCCTGATAACGGCGTCTAATTCTGACAGGTTGATATGTTGCGTATCCTTCTCGGGACGCAACCAACACGCATCTTCCACGACAGTTTCACCTACTTCAAGAGACACTCCTGTTGCAAGACGTTAAATTCACATCCGTCAACGCACCATTTACCACGTACGGGGTCGTCTTGACGCACCCTAGTAATGACTAAGGGGAGCATCATTTGTTGTGTCATCCCAGTCGGAAGTGATAGCAGTCACCCTACGTTTAATAAATGCAGTTGCAATGCGGATCCACCCGCCCACGGGAAAATGTCCCATCAGCTTTCCACATAACGAAAACACGCTGCGTCGGGTCATGTGTTTGGGAATGTCCGGGAGCTCGCTTCCACATTTCCAGTAAAGCATGTTGTGCTCCCCCCCAGACCTGCAAGCCGAGCACCCGAGCAACCATAACTCAGATTTACTAAAATCTGTGCATTGCCAAAGCGGACATCCCGGTGTAAAAGCGCCGTATGACTTGGGCGATCGCGTGTGGGTGAAATCTCCACATAGCCGGTATACAACCCGGTACCGGGTGGGGCATGTCACTGGACTAAGTAACTCGCGTTCTGTGCTGGCAGATCGCACACAAAACACGAACTTTTTTCCGGGGTACCTGATTATCTCGTTCACTACAGGGACATATAGTAATTTTAGAAAAATCCCTTTTATATTCACTCTGCTTGGAAACATTTCTGTGAATTCTTTTTTCTTTTCATTCATTATTGTTTAACCACAGGAGAATTTTCACTTGTGAACTTCAACACTCTCTGCAACTGTTGTCTTCTTGCCTGTACCTTTTTTGTGTGGAGTTACCCCACTTACTTTCCTAAAAAGATGTTGCTAGGAGATGATCCCAAGCCTATAAATAGGTAGTGACATTCTTTGTCATTCTCTTTTGTTTTCACTCAGGGATAGTAAGATGTAGTTCAAATGAGGAAAACACTTTCCCACTAGGGAACACATGCACGGACACACCTTTCGCTTCCTTTTTCTCTAGGACTTTCTCTTACACCAAACTATACACACACAAATAATTCACTAATTTAAATGTTTTCTTCAGTCACATTCATTGTTTTGTAACATGCAACAATATTCTATTGTCTATGTATACCCTTGTTTTGTTAATACATACATCATCATTTGTTTTTATATATAGTTGTGTTGTTACTCCATTTTATTACCTTGACTCACATTCGAGTCTGCCATTTTTGTTGTTGGATAAATATTCCAGGAGACACATGTTTTCCAACGAAATACTCAAACAGCATATACATCTTGATGTCAATTTCCTTCTGGCCTTGATGTTAATTTGCCTTATCCCTTTTCTGTTAAAAAGTCTTCTCCCTTGTCCACTGACCAGAACTCTATTTATTTGGAAAAATAGGCTCACAGAAGACCCCCATTTGGGTTCTTACTCATTGCTCAGTATATATAAAAAAATAATTTTCC